CCAATTGACCTCATGGTTACTTTACAAATTTGTTTTATTGAGGCACAGATATTATAGAAACGCAAAGAACTCGTATATGGTGTGCTTGTTTTATACTTTCATGTCTGAGCAACTTCCCTCCGAAGGAATGCATCATCGTTCAGCACACTTCCACAAATCCACAACGACAACTGTAATTTGCTCTCAAGTCATTGAGCTTTAGGAATATGCTTTAACACTAATTGGGTGTCAATTGCTTTTCTTCCCTGAGAGAAATCTGTTTGTAAACCCTTCACTCCTCAAGATGTACGTCGCTGCAGCATATGACTGCTCTCATGCGCTAACCTTTGATTTCATTTAATTTAACACATCACTCAGGTTACAAGATTTTATGTAGGGAAGTGACTCAAAGCCATTTTAAAGCATTTTTTAAGCAAAAAGAAGCCTTGATTCAATACAACAGAGTTGACTAAAACTTGCTTACTTAGGTCTATACAACCCTCTCTGTGCATACTCTTCTTTGGATTTAATTGCTTGCTGATTTAAGCTAAATTGAAATAAGTCACACCAGGGTAAATAAAAAGTTTGAGGAGGTCAGTTTTAAAAATCATACTTGAAGTTTAAATTAACACAACTCTAGATATGCACTTCACAGAAAAACTCATTTGTGCTTTTTTGTAACACAATTTTGTTGCTAAAAAAATTACAATCAAAATTGTATATAAAAACGACAGTCAATAAATAGTTTATAAAAATGTATCAAATACTTCAAGTGTAATCTTACCATATGGACAGAAAACCAAACCTTTTATAAGTTCAAATTAAATCTTAATTACTATAAATTGTTAAGCATGTTGGACCTCTGTATCATCCGCAGTAAAAATCCACAGCAATGATTAGCTGCATAACGTGCCTGGGATAGCTTTCAGCCAAAAGTATCCCCCAAGAACCACTAAAGAATCAGTATGGACAAATTAATTATCCCTGAACCTCAGAAAAACTATTTAAAACTCGTAGCCTTTTCCCTAAATACTACCTCCACTGAAAGCCTAGCCTCTAAGGACAGCCTTAGGAAGGAAAGGAACAAGAAACCACTTAAAGCGAAGCCTTTAAGCAGAGACTTAGGAAGGAAAGGAACAAGAAAAGGTTTCTGAAGCATCACAAACCACTGCTCTCTGTAACCTCAGCATAAAAAATGAAAGGAAGCTTGCTAAGAACTTCTGCTAGACAGCCATATTCCTTTCTTCCTGCAAAAATATGAAATAATTGCCCTGTTAAAGCTCTGCTAGGTTATCTGATGCGTAACTTTGGCAGGGCATCAGCTGCCTCTGTTGCTAACATCCAGTAAATATCGAGTGAGCCACGAACTTGAAGCAGAACCATCCAGCACCATTTTCTGTGGGGGACCTTTTAGTGGTGGTCTACATTTGCCTCCCTAGGAATAGGGATGTATAGGTAACCAAATAGCAAACTTATCTCTGAATAACACCGCTGCAAGGGGGAAGTGAAACAAGTATCTATCTGTTCCTTTTTCCCTAGAAACTGTTTTTTTTCTTAGCAAGACTCCAACTCTGCTGGAAGTTAAAGCCCAGCTATGCCAGTTGGGAGAACAGGCCACCCACACCTCACCCACCCACGGCGCCGCCGCACCACGGCATAGGCACATCTCGGCTGCACTTCAGGCTGAATGGAAAACCCAGGCCAAGAACCATTCTGGAAGCTAGCACAGGTAGCAGCCGAGGAGGAGGTGGAATAGTTATGTTTAACCCTTATTTTCTCTTTGATTGCTGATCTTGCAGCAGGTCCTCAAAGGACAATTTTAAAACAGCTTAATTAAAAGTATTCATATTTAACGTATTTAAAGTAATTTTGCAAATACTAAGAGCTCTCCAGAGACCAAATAATGTGGATGCCTCATAAAGATGATCTAATAAGGAGAAGCTGCTCTGTGTGCAGAGGAATTCTTCAGCATGACTGCTAAGACAAAGCATCGTATAGTAACACTTTGTTACCGTAAACTTATCAGGAAAATGATTTTGTTAATTTTAACTTGCTATTTTCTGTTTCACATTTTCCCCTTTTCCCTTCCCTTTAAGGACCTGCCACAAAAAATAAGTAGTTAAAATAAATTATCAAGAATTTTAACAATTTTAATAACCATTTTAATGCAAAACCAATGTGCTAAGAGCAAGTTTTAGTGCTCTTCTAAAATATTCATGGATGGCTCAAAGAGCAAAGCTACATCGGCCCACCTGGCGGTCTTCTTAAGAGTACCAATAAAGAAAAAAAAATTGGGTCATCCAAATGCTCAACCAGAAAGCATTTTTCAAAAATACAATTAGGT